AATCGGATTAAAATGAAATTTGAATTTTTATTTAATTACTTAAAACCTTTGTCTATTTTTACATTATACAAAATTTTATTTTAATCCACCACAATAAACGTCAGAACCCTTATTGTTTATAATCTTAAAAATGATTGGCACGGACAATTTATTTTTTCCTTTTTATATATATTATTACAGTATTATATTATATTCGTGTAACAAAACTATTTAATAGAAATTTTGGTTAGCCAACGATTTGACCAACCCTTTTACTTAACTATAGCTTAACTCTTAGGTTTCGTCCAAGGTTTAAACATTCTTCAGAATTTTTGCAGGTTGTAATTCGTCTTTTCCGATTTTAGGATACGATTTTCACCAGGGTCTGGTATTACGGCGGTTTTTAAGTTTCTTTCGCCATCACACGAAAAGGTTCACCTACAACTATAGATAAGACATGACATTTAGTATTGGCAGACTTGTTCATTATGCTGCTGATGCAGTACTTGTTTCCGCAGTGTTAGCAGGTATCAAAAGGTCTACTGGATTAACGTAAGTTAATTTTATTTTCAAGGTTTTAGTTGTTTTATTGCTATCGAATAACAAAATTTTCTTGAGTAGACTTGCCACACACCGAATTGAGAACGCAGAAGTTCGAAATGTTGTAAACAAATTTCTTGGTGTTGGCGAATGGGTTGTGGATCAAAGCATTTTATATATGAGCTCTTCACCTTACTTTGAAAGAAAGCGATGAGCTTATATTAAACGATTTATACTTTATTTTTACAAATAATTATGCTATACAAATAAATTACGGCAAAACACTTGGGTTCTTTGAACCAGCAATTCCTAACATTCGCCTGTTCCCTTTCTTTGATTCATTTATTCCTAGCTTTATAATGTCCTGTCTAACTCTGATTTATATGTGTTTTCTTCCAACAACTTCTCAACTTCTTTCTTGATATAATCAACACGTGCTGAATCAATTAAAAGATGATTGTCATCAAGATCTTCAATAATGACTTTTTCTTTCTTATCGAGGCTAATAATTACTTGCTTAACTGCTGGGTCACTTGAATAAAAAAAAAAAAAAAGGGTTA